ACATAATCGGTCCAACTGATCTTCTCCATTCTTCTCCAACACCACATTTCGAAACTTTCCAGATGTTTCTGATCTACTGCCCTAAGTGTCCATCTCCAAAAATATAATTTCTAATCATATCCTTTCTTGTTTTTCCTTAAACATGTCTCAAAATATAATCAGGTATAATGACAATGATGGCAGCTCTGCATACCTGCGGGGAAACACGTTTGTTGTTTCGGCAATTCCTATGCAGTGGCCCACTGTTATTGCGTTTCCATGGAAGTATACTTTCCGGTTTCATCCGTTGTTACGCAACGGAACCACTTATCATATGCAACTGTTCTAGCGTTACTATGGTAACGAATGCTGGATTCGGAACATGTGACAAGTTTTTACCTGTTTTTACCTGTCACAGATGTGACATCTATATAATAGGTACATAAAAAAATGTGTGTATTTGAATGCAACGTTGTGTCAAAATTTCAAAGCAATCAGTGAAGAACTTTCAGAGATCTTTGTACAGAGACAAATGAACATTTACATTTTTATTTATATATAGATAAGCCAGTGCTTAATACATGTTTATACAATTAAAACAGGAGCAGCGGTAGCTCAGTTAGTACAGTGACTAGATTATGGGCTAGGGAATCATGGAGTCACCCATTTTTTTTCACATCCTGCTGTGTTAATTGCTATAGATAATATTTATTATAGTCCTGTCAATGCAATGCTATTTCCAGTAAGAGTTTACTGTCTAGGATGAAATGTTTTTAGAAAATTTACGCTAAGTATGTGATAGAATAATCATAACCAAAAAGCAGACGTGAAGATGGCACCGAAATTTTACCTTAGACAGCGGACTCCTGCTGTGTTGTGTTGACAGGAATATAATAAATATTATCTGTAGATCATGGAATAAAATTCTGATTCTCAGTGGGGGCAGAGATTTTGCTCTTTTCCATAGCATGAAGACTGGTTTTGGGCCACACCAAGCCTCCTGTCCAATTTGTGCAAGACTGTCTTCCGCAAGGGGGTGAAGTGGCCACTGCAGTACCTCCATTATGCCATACATATTTGTGGCATGGTACTTAATTAAGCATAGAGGGCATTTTATGTTATATTTTATGTATTTAAAAGAAAGACAGTGAAATTTGAAGGTGTACAAATATTTGTTTATTTTAGTCTATAGTGAGTAACGTAATTAGTTGGCTTGGTATAATCCTTAACTACATGAACCCAGAACATTGGAGTTGTTTGTTGAATCGTTGCTTAAAAAGGCAATGGAAGTAACAAGTACCAAAAACGCAAAAACTCTAACGCCCTCACACATGTAAGTATTGATATTTGTTTGGGTGACTGAGACGCGGGTTTGGAATGGTAATTGGATTTATTAACCACTCACAGGTCATAACTACAAGTAATTATTACACTCTTGCTGATTTACACAATTTGCTATCATTTGACACTAATCATCTCAGTCTGCTTTCACTAGTCTTCACTGTCCACTTCCTGGCAACGGATTTGTAGCAAGACAACTGTAAAAGTCTTGCTAAATTACTCCCAATCCCTCTGCACTATAGCACACATAAAGTCTTCAGTTCACAAGTTAACTCTCCTTCAAATATGCACTTCATGTGGTTGTCTTCTTCCGAGAACTCTGAAGTCACAACTCTTGTCGCTTCTAGTTTCAATTCGCTCACTGGCGTCCTTCCACCGCTACTATTTCTCTCTCTCTGACGAACTCAGAACTCTGTTACTCACTTATATAGCCAAGAGACCGATATTGCCCAACAGTAAACACATATCACGTGACCCCTAACCAGNTTCCTTCAAATATGCACTTCCTGTGGTTGTCTTCTTCCGAGAACTCTGAAGTCACAACTCTTGTCACTTCTAGTTTCAATTCGCTCACTGGCGTCCTTCCGCCGCTACTATTTCTCTCTCTCTGACGAACTCAGAACTCTGTTACTCACTTATATAGCCAAGAGACCGATATTGCCCAACAGTAAACACATATCACGTGACCCCTAACCAGTATGGCTCTGTGACATCACTGCACACGCGCAACCTGATAGACACACAGGAAACATGTCACATGACCCTACCCAGTATGGCTCTGTGACATCAGTGCACATGCACAAGCTGACAGACACACAGAAAACACATGTCACATGACCCCTACCCAATATGGCTCTGTGACATCACTGCACATGCACAAGCTGACAGACACACAGAAAACACATGTCACATGACCCCTACCCAATATGGCTCTGTGACATCACTGCACATGCACAAGCTGACAGACACACAGAAAACACATGTCACATGACCCCTACCCAATATGGCTCTGTGACATCACTGCACATGCACAAGCTGACAGACACACAGGAACACATGTCATGTGACCCCCACCCAGTATGGATCTGTGACATCACTGCACATGCGCAAGCTGACAGACACACAGGAAACCCATGTCACGTGACAACCACCTACTTTTGATGTGTGACATCACCACTCCTGCACCAGCTTGCTCTACTGTTACATGCACGTATCATGTTTACAGAGCTGTTGCCTAGCAACATGTTGATCAAATATGCCAAAGTATGTTCTGAATTACAGTTTAGTGCTGGGCGTCCATTCGGGATTTTAGGAGACTTAGGTTTTCTTGCTGTACCTATTGAAGAAATTGGTGCCAAGACCCTGCGCATACTTTCTCATACACGAGCTTTACTTTGCCATGGAAATTAAATTGGTTGTTCCATGGTAACCCATTGTTGGTTACTAGCATGTGGAACAACATGAACATCTAACTGGTAAATCTGGCTTTTACATAATACAGGGCATTCAGTCAAGGAGGAAACTTTGCAACACTGTTGACTGGGCCCAATATTCCTCACAGATTGCTGCTGTAACTGTAACTGTAACGGCGCACGTTTATCAGTGCAAATGACTCATTCTGCTATCAGCAGTTACAGCAGCAATCTGAGTCAGTGTTGTGGCAAAGTTTCCTCCTCAACTGAACGCATTGTATATTGTGTTTGGGCCCCTAGTGAGCATACCATTATTTTCCTGAAGATACCATTGTGCTGTTTCATTTAGAAAGATGATCTGCTTAAACGTTTGAAATTAATTTAAATCGTTCACAATGTTTTCAAGAGAGTCACTATTTTACTTTTTGGGCCCACTTGAAGGTCCCAATATTTTATGGAATTAGAATGTTTATATTCACCTGACACTGACCTGTGGTGGATAAACTCCCAAATACCAGGTATGAACAATATCTGTCCATCTGATCAGGTGTCACTGAGGAACACATACAGACAGTATTTCAAGAACCACTTTTTTCTTATTATGGGGCTGAAAATGTATAAATCTCAAAAGCTGAAGAGTGACCTTACCATGATCACAGTACATATATGGAGCGAGTAATAACTGGAACTCTAAACTGCAGATTAGCTCAGAATTTTGTGCCAGTTGCAAAGCAGCGTGTTCATATATAAGTATTAGGGTTTCACTCCAGTGACTGTTCGGGTCATGGAACTATGAATATTGTTGTTTCAAAGGAACATGTCTCAGTCTTCAGGTTTAAAATATGTGTGGTAAAGATGTGATACATTTGTGTAGTCAGGTTTGCCTGAAGGAGGGAAATGGAACTAGGTGTGGGTGGTATATCAGTGGCACACAGTAACAGATGACAATGAAAGCAACCCATATAAGGGCCCTGAAAGGAGTGAGTCCAGTCCAAGCCAGTAAGGAATCATAATGAGACTTGCGAGACATAAGGCCCTTGTTATGGACCAGAACAGTTATGTCGCACGGGCGTACAGTTGGGTTCTTGTGTTCAAAATCGATTTGTGGTAGTTAGTACACAAGTAGACCACACTAGTGATACATGCAACACACAAACAAATCTACCACAGCTGCAACAGAGTGCAACGATGGCGTTCTGATCACAATATAGTGCTAAATATTGACGTGCACGGAATCACAGTGAACAAGTATACAGTGCAGTGGTCTCCCCAAAAGAAGGGAAATTACCTGATGATGTCCCATGTGGCTGAAACATGTTGAAAACTGGAACAAATATATGACTAAAGACATTTTAGAAAATTGGATAATCACTTCTAATGTATAGAATGTGCTTTTAATGTCCTATTGAAATGTAATGATTTTGACAACATCAAAAAGTGTTAAAATACATTTTGAGTGTGAAAGATATTCCTAATACCTTTTAAATTGTTGCATTATTGATGGATACTTTGATAATAAGGATGACCCAGAAGACAGTAGTCATCAGTTATAAATGTTTCATTCATTGAATTGCATGTTCTTCCTTTAGGAAGCAGTGCATACTTTCTGAGAGTCGCTTTGACTTTCTCAAGGATTTGGTGATGTTGCTACCAGATGTTCCCGCCTGCGAGTACGAAGATGGAGGACAACCCAATGCCAGTGTACAGCCTCCCATCAGTGACCCTGCAAGGTGAGAGAATCATTATTGAGAGGGTGAACGAATGTGCATCAGATTTTAAATTAATCTTGGTATTGTAAGGAATTGGGGCATGTCATAGCTGAGGTGATTAGGTGCTGGCTTCGCACTGTGGAGCCTCTGGTTCAGTCCCCGGTACTTGATACCTTCATTGTGAAGGAAGTGTCAATGGAGCAGGTTTCTTCACTTTTGCTCCATGTTCATCTCCACAACAAAGTGAGCTGTAGCCCTTACCAGGCAGCACAGTATCACATCCTCAGCATTAAGTTGGGAGCTTCATCTCTGACCTGACACTTGGATGGTCTCAGAATGAGAAGTTATAATGAGGAACCATTTTGGTCAAAGAGCATGAGGGGAGTAGGCCATTTGAAAGGCCTAGATACGTTTTATCTTTTTTTTTTTTTTTGGTATTATATAGTTTATTCAAGAACACTGTCAATAACCCAGACCGTATAGCATCAAATGGTTGGGTGCTCAATGAATAATGAATTCAGTAGAATTTGGTGTGGAGTGGTTATGGCCTGTTTTAGGTTACTATCCTGATGGCATTTAACCGGAGAGACTGGGGGAAAAGGATGAAAGCCCTTGAGGATGATACCTGCTTCCCTGGCTGAGCTTTGAACCAATTATGTTCCAGATATTTTGGAAACTTGACTGTCGCAGCCACATTTTGGGAGCTGGGATAGCTCAGTTGGCATGGCAGTGGGCTACAAGCTGGGTGGCAGGGGTTCAATTGCAGGCAGGAAAAAGAGATTTTTCTCTTCTCCACATCATCCAGACCTGCTTTGGGGCCCACCCAGCCTCCTGTCCAGTGGAGAGTAGGGGTTCTTCCCCAGGGGTAGAATAGTCGGGGGCACAAAGCTTACCACCCACCTCCATCTAGTGCTTAGGTCAGGAACGGTGGAGCTTTACCTGCACGGTGTAGTACAACAGTTTTACCATTACTTTTCCTTACATATTAATGGGTGACCTAAGTAACTTTAAAATTTNTCTGGAAGGAACTTTTGTGAAACCAAGGCCTAAAGCCTAACCTTTAAGTTTTTGCCTCCAGCAATAAGACCAGAAGGTGAGGCTTTAGGTTTTGTTTTTAAAAATAAATGCCTAAGTACTTTCTAAGGTTAGGCTTTGGGTTTTGTTTTTAGATGTACTTCTGTGCCTAACAGTAATTATAACAGTCTTACCATAACTACAGCACATGTAAAATCTCCTCTTCACAGCAAGACTTTCAACTGTCACCCAACTATAGCACTGTCTCTTCTCAGCCTCCCTTGCAGAGCTCAACAGAACTGTTGGCCCCACATTTCTTCTTTATAACCATTTTGCACAGACTGAATAGAAAACACAATTTCCAACAGAAGCTCTACTGTTGTAGGGGCATGTTTACCAACCCGTTGCCTAGAAACAGGTTGCATAACACTGTTCTTTATTTGCATAATGGCTGTACATGCTGCAGTAGTAATGATGGGATAAGAAGTTTGAAATTGCGCAGATTCAGGGAACCATAGCAGTGAATTTATTGCCCCGGCTCCTAACAGTTCTGTCTCTATGGATATGTTGTTTCAAGCATGAATAGCTGAACACAGGAAATAGAACAGATATGAACTTTTTTCCCCCTAATTTCTGTTGTGATTTTACTCACTTTAGTCAGACACCTATGCTCTAGGGAAGTAATGCATGTATAAGATGAAAAATAATTAAAGTTAAAGGCAGAAGTTGTTAGGTCTCTTACGAAGAATTATTATGTGTTGCAACCTCGCGTTATGTAGCAGGTTAGGAATGAGGAAGCAATCTCTTGTTCCAGTGTACTGTGTGTATTGTGTGAGTACTGGTATTATTTTGATGTAAATATGTGAAGGAGACAGTTTGGTACCTGTGAATTTTATTCATGGGAGATGGCATTGAACATCAGCCTTGCATTCAGTAACATGTAGGGCTAGAAGGGAATATGAGGAAAAAGCAGAGGCAGTCAGTAAAACAATGGCTTATATGCGGTGACAAATGAGACTTCCTGTTGACTTCTTAACAGGTGTTACAGCAGCCCATAAAAGAAGTGATATTGTTTGAATTGAAGAGTTATGTAACGCTATGTAAAAAAGGTAAATCATCTCTGTAACAGGCCAGGAATGGATGTGGGTTTGTGAGGCGTTGAGGCTCCCACATTTTCTAGACAGTTGGCTCACAGATGGCAGTGAGGTTGTCAGCCTGATGTGCTGGCTGCCCTTTACCCCCAGGAAGATTCTTGGTACTCATTTCTGTTAGAGTCTGAGTCAACCCCAGGGTTATAGTGCCACTGGAAGGATTAGGGTAAACTAAAATATCCAGTGACCTCATCAGGAATTGAACTCATGACCTATGGCTTGTAGCATAGTGCCTCAACCAACTATGCTACTGTGTGCCCTGTGTAATGGTGTGTAGTCCATTGAAAGCCGACCAACAAATCAGAGGGACATGTTGCCTCCATCTTCAGGATTGAAGAATAAACGAAGCAAGAAGCTAGCAAGAAGAGTCTGAAGATGGAGGTGACATCTTCTCCGTAACATTGGTTGACTTTCAAGGAACGACTTGGCCTTATATTCCAGAAGATATAACTGTTCACAGCCACCACTGTCAGAACCTCAGCTCCTACACTGCACTGTATCCCAGAAGATATAACTCTTCACAGCCACCACTGTCAGAACCTCAGCTCCTACACTGCACTGTATCCCAGAAGATATAACTCTTCACAGCCACCACTGTCAGAACCTCAGCTCCTACACTGCACTGTATCCCAGAAGATATAACTCTTCACAGCCATCACTGTGAGAACCTCAGCTCCTACACTGCACTGTATCCCAGAAGATATAACTCTTCACAGCCACTACTGTCAGAACTTCAGCTCCTACATTGTTTGAATTGTTTGTTGTGTTGTGCATTTTGTGTTTCATGTAGTATACAGGGTCTACCAAGAAGATTGCTGGGATTTCAGACACCCGCAGCTGAGTAAGGAAAACAGTATGAGGGTGTTGGTATTTGCAGTGAGATGGTAAACTCAGTTTCAGTGACACAAGTTGTGTGCGCATCCCAACTATAGTTAACAGACAGCAGCTTTCAATTCCTAATTTGAATCCATTGCGCGAGTTCACCATGAATTTAGACATGAGTATAGTGTGAGGCCACCTGATGACAAGAGAATTAGGAGATGATAGGAGTAATTTAGAGAGAGACTGGCAGTGTGGAAAAATAGACATTTTGCTTTGCGGCCTAGGAGTTCTGATGGAGGTATGGATCGTGTTAGGCAGGCTTTTGTACAGAGTCTGAAGAATTGAACCTTTGGAGCAAGTGCAGAGTTGCAGATACCAGAATCAGCTGTCCACACAAATTACAAGCAATCCAGAAATCTACGGAAAGTGATGAACTGCTTAGATCGCACTTTGCAGCACACACATGTGCACAAATTTTGGAAAGAAGTACTTTCTTGAGTCATATTGTCTTCATGGCTGAGGGAAAAATTTCACATCTCTAGATGTGTCAGTTGGCATAACTGTGCCATGTGGGGCACTGAGCCTTTTGGAGAACATCTATAACATGAATAGGATAGTCCTAAAGTGAACATGCGGTACATTCTGACACATTAGTGAATCATTGGCCTGTTTTTTTCTTTGAAGACGACATCATTATGACCACTTCATTCCTAGGCTTGATGGAAAATTATGCGTCAGCTGGATGACAGTGCACCCTTCATTTCACTCCCATTTTCTCAGGTTGATGGATGGGGAGAGGAGGACCAGTTGTGTAGCCCCCTCGTTCTCCTGATCCTACACTTTTGTACTTTTTTCTTGGGGCAGTGTGAAAGTCCAGGTGTACAGCCAGAGTGTGAATATGCCGGATGAACTCAAAGCACGGATCAATGTGGCAATTGCAGGTGTTCAAGGCATATATTACAGCATGTCAAGAGGTGACTATAGGTGGGATGTATGCACAGCTACAGATGTGTTCACTATGAAATGTTTCATACTTAGCAACTTTTCCACCTGTATGTAAAAAATATATCAATTGATGAATAAAATAGTGCAAAAAACACCCTCATATCTGTTTTTATTTGTAAGTTACAGGTGCCTGAAATCCAGGAATTCTTTTTGGCAGACCCTGTATTTTCCAGAAGACTTAATGGAAACTTGTTTTTTTTTGTCTAACAGCAGTGTCATTCGGCAGATACAAGAAGTTGCTAATGTTCCCCACAATAAAGAAGACAGAGGATGTGTTCCTCCACCAGAACCAACTTTTGTTTCAAGCAATAAATTAAACCTTAATTTTTATAAAGAAAGTGAAGAAGCCAGCATAAGTGGTGCCAAGAATTTAGGTAGACAAGCTGCAGCTCGGAGTCCACATATATGCATTCAGGACGCTGAAGACAGTGGAAGTGAGCATGAAGAGGAATGTCGGGTGCCAGCGATAGTTCCACAATATGCACAACCCAAGGCAAGTGTTGCTCTTCTCGATGAAGACTATGATACATAACATTTGTTTGGAAAGTTGGTTTCTTTGACTTCTGCAGCACCAGTTGACATTTTGTGAATAAAAGTGTGAGTTGTAGATCCATGTCAACATGACTTCAGATACAGCTCAGACATATTAATAACAATGATGATAATTTCCCATATTTGAGATTTATGAAAGTAACAAGATCAATGCAGCGTCATCAGGTTAAGAAAACTGATTCACAAGCATTTATTGCACTTGTTGGCTTTATACACATAACTTTAGAGAAGCACTAAACATTCGAGACACATAGCATCCTAATTAGAATAAAAGTAATTGCTGGTTATATGTTCTATGTAATATTTTTTTCTGCTTTCAATTTTAACCTCATAAAACTTTTTACAGTTTACACACAACTTTATTTTGGTATGAGGCATGAAAACAGTTTGTTATCAGACATTTGGTCCAATCTACTAGGTCAACATGAGTTGGTCCAGTCCAAAATTTAATGGTAGACGATCCAGATCTCATATTTATATCCAGTCGTAGTCCAGTCTACTTGTGGTTCAGCCCTTCAAAATCATACAGTTATGCTGAAATTATCCTTATTCTTGCTTTAAATGGGGCACACAGTAGCGTAGTTGGTTGAGGCACTATGCTACAAGCTGGAAGGTCACGGGATCAAATCCTGATGAGGTCATTGGATTTTTTTAAATTGACCTAATCCTTCCAGCCTCTAACAGAAATGAGTACCAGGAATATTCTTGGGTGTAAAAGGCGACTGGCGCATAGGGATGACAACCTTACCGCCATCTATGAGCCGATTGTCTAGAAAATGTGGGAACCTCAACATCTCAGAACCCTGTGGGCCTCCACGGCCTGTTACAGGGATACCTTTACATTCTACATTTTTACTTTTACTTGCTTTAAATCTTTGAAGCTGAAATTCCTCAAAATAATGCTTGAATGTTCAATTCCTACCTCACGTTAAACATACTCTGTCCCAGTTACTAACCAGTTAATGCTGTTAGGGAAATGATTGCTATTTGTAGTAAGAATCATATGGAACACATAACACAAATACAATGTGTGGGCAAAATGTAGAGTTTTTTTAAAACATTAAAGCAGGTGGTATATATAGTTACCACTATACTATACTTGAAACAGTTATTAGAAAGTAAAATCTTTCAAGTCCATAATTACATGTCTGGTAAATCTATTGTTACATTAAAAATCTTTCCTGCTTCTCATCACTGCATACTTATCTTATAAAGGTACCTGAACACACAGGTGGTCATCAGTCATAAAATTTATAGAGTACTTAAGACAGTAGTTATTTTCTTCTTCAGGCATGTTTTGCGTAGAATGTGAGTCTCGCCACCTTTTGGACAGTCACCCGGGACTGTTGTTCACATCAGGAGAGTGTCTGTCTCTGAAACTCAGAGCAGGAGATTTAACCACAGGATTTTGATAGTCTGACTTCAGCTGTCTCATGTAGTGGATACTTCTTTAAGGTATTTGGAGAAGCCCCCTCCTACATATTTATGATCTGTAGAGAGAAGGTGTTATATTTTAAACCCCACCCCCAGTAACTGGGCTTTGTGGTGGTCCAAAGGTCCTTATTTAATGTATTCAGACTGCTGTACCGTGTCCAGCGGGCTCCCACACCTGCCACCTAGAGCAGTGTTTCTCAACCAGTGGTATGCAAGGTCTTGGATAAAGAATTTTCGTTAATGAATAATGTGATACTAAAATTTAGATAATTGTAAAAGTATACTTATTGGAAATGTGAGCCGGTATAGCGTAGTCAGTATAGCGACTGGCTGTGGGCTGGTTGGCCAAGGGGTCAGAGTTCGAGTCCCAGTAGGGTCAAGAATTTTCTCTCCTCCATATTTTCCAGACCAGCTCTGGGATCCACCCAACCTCCTATCCAATGTGTACCAAGAGCTCTTTCCCTGGGGGTAAAGTGGCCGCAGCGTGAAGCTGACCACTCACCTCCAACTAGTGCCGTTGTCAAGAAAATGTGGAGCTATACATCCACTCCCCCATATGCCTTCATGGAATGATGCTTAATTAGTTAAGCACAGGGAGAACTTTTACACTTCTTGAAAAAAAAAGATTTGTTTTTACTGTGATGGGACTACAGATTTTTGATGAGACAATCAGTGGGACATGAGGCAGAGAATCACTGACCTAGAGTATGTGCCCTCTAGATGTTACAGAGATTACGAGACCCACTGGAGGGATTCAGCTTTTAATTAAAAGCACTGAATATGGCACTTGGTGCCAAAATGTGTATGCTGTTACAGGAAGACAGTAGTGTGTGAGTTGTTGATGGTTTTGTGAGATTAAGCTTGGAAAATGTTAAGTGGGTAGTTATGCATAAAATGATAGAGTACAAATTTTGATACTGTGTTATGTACATAGCTCATTATGTTCTCTGAAGAAGGAATCCTTTTTCATATCAGCAGGTGAATAGAGCTTGCTGCTGTAAAAATAATAGCATGTAAACTGTTAATTGTACTTGCATATTATTGGGTGTCCCATGTAACTTTAAAACTTGACCACCATGTTAGCTGGCAACCATAGAGGTTTATTTGTGAAAATAAGACCTGAAGCCCAACCTCAGAATTTTCTGTCAACATGTCTCTGAGGTTGGGCTTTTGTTTATAAATGGTCAGGCTTTTGTTTCCATTTTTAAGATGATAGACTTTTGGTTTTGTTTTTAAAAACAAATAAAGAATTCATGTTTATGAGTGTGACTGTAGACAGGGCTTGGATTCATAATTGGCTTTATTGGATACTTACAGATCGTAACTACAAGTAACCAGAGCACTATCACTAATTCACACATTCTACAGTATACTTCAGCATGCACTAAGTCCTCTCACTCTGCTGTATCTTCACCAGTTGTTGACTGGTAATGGCTTCCAATGCCATATCTTCCTCAGCTTCTGTGTTCACACAACTAGTGATCGCTGACTCTCTCACAACTAACGAAACTCTAGACTTGTTATGCATAGAAAGCACCACTTCCAGCCATTCTGCCTTCTAAATATTGGGCTTTGGGTTTAGTTTTTAAAAATAAACATCAAGGAAGAAAAATTTAAAAGTTACTTGTGTTACATGTCAGTACCTAGGTACCCTGTCATCTGGGAATAGGCAATTTGAAACCTTTTCATAGATTTCTTTTTGTGATATGATATTGTGCAGTATTATGCTGCTGAAATGAATGATGCTTGTTTTGTTGAATACATTTTTGTCTTGCTGAAATGCCATTTATGAACTGGCTGCAAGCTTAATGAACCGTAAAGAATGCCATTGGGGAATTTTGTGTGTTGCATTATGGACTGCATGCACTCTGTCCAAGCAGACATTCATATGATTATTGTATGGAAATTTTGCCATTTACAGTACACCTGAAAATAAGAGAAACAAGCAGTTTCAATTGGAGGTTTTATGCTTGGATCTGTAATAAAATGGAAAGAAAATATTGACCAGGAAAATGTGTAATTTGATTTAAGTAAAGGTGTTAGTACCGATATATACCTGCAGTTCCCGGTGATATGTAACTATTAATGTGTCTGTAAGCATGATGACTGTGGCATAATGCAGTGGTGTGTAACTTTTCTTCACTGGAAAGTCACATTTTCCAGTTTCAGTGTATTTTTGTTCTTATAGAAACATGAAAATTACTGTATTTCCCTGTATATAAGATGCCTTCTCTCTCTAAATTTTGGCATTTAAAACCAGATAGCAGCTTGTAAGGGGTTTGTAAAAGGGGAGAAATGCCATTGGATTGTATAGATCAAGAAGAGGTACGTACAGTGAAACCTGTCCCAGGAGTCCATCGACCATTCAGCCCATGAGTGGTCTTTTATAGGGGTGGTGTCTGAACAGGAGTTGGATTAGCATATGCAGTAGGTAACTTCAGTCAGGTATTAATAAATAAAAACATACATATGTAATATATAATTCAGGTTACAGTTTTAAATTTTAAAATCAGTGTTACTAACTAGTGGAATTCAAATGGAAATGCATCACTGAAGTCTCTTGGCAACCCCAAAAATGAAATCAGTGTTTTTTAAGTAGTGTACTCAGTTATATGGAGCAACCTGAAACTTGCTCTCTCTTGAGTTCTGATTGTTGCACACAACAGGATAAGGGGCGTGACTCATGTTCAGACAAGTCCACTGTCTAATTCCTATTGCATTTAAGTGGTTGCACAATGTAACTGTAATAATGCTGCCTGAGAATATGTAATGCATTCCACAGATAGAATGCTGCATGAACTGGTTTGAGGTAATACAGTCAACTCTCGATTATCCGGGATAATGGTGGGGATGGAAATCACGATTAATCGAAAACCCGGTTAAGACAAATTTTATTAAAAGTAGTACTGTAATACTGTACCTTCATAATACTATAGGCCTACCTGTATTTAAATTTATTCAACCTCATTTTTATGTCATCTCATGGCCTATTTAATACTTTTTTTACATTACACTGAAGTATGAATTAGTTATTTCAATCACAGTCTTCGACAACATCCAACACTTTTTACGAACATTCACACTTAACACTTAAAAAAATTTAATATTGTCGTTTNTTACAACTCGCCATGTGAAACAAAAGTGAATGAATATTAAACAACATATAAGCCTCAAAAAAGCCTCAGTAGCCAGCCCCGGTTAAGCCGCAAACCGGTTAATCCACCCCCGGATAATCAAGAGTTGACTGTACCAATTCTACCAGTAGTAGAAGCATCCAACAGTTTTCTCCCTGTCATAAGCTGTAGTCATTTTCATGAAAAATGCCTGTTTGTAAGAGCTTCTTAACACCTGTAGATTGTACAGGGTGTTCAATCAAGGAGGAAACTTTACAACACTGTTGACCCAGCCCAATATTCCTCACAGATTGCTGCTGCATTAATGACTCATTCTGCTATGAGCAGTTACAGCAGCAATCTGTGAGGAATGTTGGGCTGGGTCAGAGGTGTTGCGAAGTTTCCTCCTTAACTGAATGCACTGTATTTCTTTAAATGCTGAATGTTATGATTGTTGGCAAGGGAAGCAGAGCAGTTCCTCTGATAACTTTGGTTTCCCCTGCCAATTCTCATTCCACCAACTGCCCCAAGCTTGTCATCATCTATCATCCAAGGCTGGTACAGTAAGCCAATTAGTGGCCAAAGTACCAAATGGACTCAGTTTCACCCCACCCCACAAAAATTAATTTGTTAGAGAGAAGATTGAATGTTTGTCTTCATAGGTTCAGGAAATGAATTTGGAAGAAATGGGGTTCTCACAGAAGTCAGTATTATTAACCCTTTTAAAGAACAATAGTGACTGCATGTACCACTGGCTTCAGTATTCAAATTTCTATATTTTGACTTCACAGAATGTTTCTTTTGTAGGATTCTCAGTATAAATGTCACTTCTTACCTCAAAGGGAAGAAGTTTATGTTCTTCTGGGATGTGATGCTCTGTAGTGTAAAAGATAGGTAATTATTATTCAAGGAGCCTGCTGCGTCCGTATTCAGGGTAGAAGAGTGTGCCACAGCTTTATCTTCTGTCCTGAGAATGGAGTCAGCAGGTTCCTCTGAAGTATTGGTACCTAAGACTACATGGCATCACTTCACAGAAGGTGG